GAGACTCGAAAAAGTCCTAAAGAACAAAGGCAGACCAATCGACTATTAGTGTACACAAACTTTGCATCTTACTTATTATCAATGTTAATATGTTGTTAATAAAAATTGTTCCATTCTCTTAAGTTACCCTCCAACTCATCATGGTCCAGGTCAACCACTACTGACGAAATGGGAGTATCCGCTACATTTTGAACCATTCTATCTGCTGTGCGTAAACGAATCAGAAAAATCCCGTCTACAAAGACTCATCAAGGCTTGTTAATTATTATTTGGAAAAAAATGTACTTCAGTATAAATGCGGTTGCCTATACGAACCGACTAGTGTTTCACAGGGGCCGGTAGCTATTTTGATCGCACACCTTCGTTATCAGGTCTGTGCTAAGAGACAGACTTGAGGAACCATTTGCTCCCACTACAGTTGTGCCTGTAATCTCTCACGGACTATGTGGTGGAGTGGTCATCGAACCCGGAACCTAAACGACGGGCTGATGGTGGTGTCTGGACATAGGAACAAATTAGGCTGGGGTTTATCAACTTGTCTGAAGTGGAGAATGTAACTCGATTCGCGTAGAAGCGAGAGAAAATAAGAAGGTATTAGAATCGTGAGATTGTTTTCCGGATTTATTCACTCAATTCGTCAGCACGTGCTGTTTCCATTCTGTTGATGTGTTCAGTTGTCCAATGGCATATGCGTGTGAAATAGACTGTGTTCTCACACAATCCAGTGGATCCTGAACAATCGTTCCAGCCTCGTAAACAATGAGTTCTACTGTATCCATCCCGGCTCTGTGGAGCATGTTTCCGCCGGGGATTGTAGGCATTGATTATTATTCTTGATGGATCCATTTCCAATGGTCCATTCTATTTACCACGACAAGTGTTACTTGTGTTTGTTTGTTTTCCAAGTAAACATCACGCTTTGTCGCACTCTATTTGTGTTCAATCCTCGTCCACAGTCTCCAACCGGGTGAAACAGTTGTATCACAATGTTTACACAGATATTTTTTTCTAATTTCCATTTCGCGTGTTCTGTGCATGATGAATTTATCTGACTTAACGAAGTGTTGGTTTTTCAAACATGGATGCTGACCAGCGAAAAGCCTCCCCAGATCCATTTCCCTGGTACAAAATCTATGTTCAAGATTTGTTTTACGTGATTGACTTGTTTATAGATTTGCTCATCCAAAATATCACACTCATTTGTCTGATCCTTTCAGACCTCAACCGGATCACTACGAAATCTACTCCAATCCGCTTTTCGCAATCCGTCCGCGGTTACTGGTCGAACGGTCAATAACAGACAGGATGTGATGCAGATTGTGGACTCGACCACGAATATCATCTCTCCTGAATCGAACGACAACTCTCAATCATCTGCGCTGTGTGATCCGAACGTTGAGGAGGATTTACAACTGGGCCATTTGGGGTCATCCATGCTCAGTTTGACCAGTTGGGATAGCGTGTCCACATTGAACTATCCCATGGGTAATAAACCGTTGGATCGGATCCCCAATCGCACCTTGTTCAATGCGACCAGTCGTAAAAGTGGCACGGGCAGTGCAGTTTGGGAGACTGCAAGTCATTTGGGTGTGAGCACGCATGAAGATATGCGGCGTTCTTTCCGTCTCCCGGTCCGACGTCATTTACCCGGTCTGTCGGGCGGTGAATCAGGATCTAGAAAACTTCAGAAAAAACCGAAGAAGTATAAACTGGGTGCCATGTCTCATTTGTTTCAGCGTCCGTCGATTGCCAGAGGTTCGGAGGTGGTCGGAGACAGCACTGGTGATGTTTCTCTGTCTTGTCCACCGCCACCCCAGCCGCAGGCACCATCTCGACCGTCCACTTCACGACGCGAAAGCCTGCTGCGTGGTTTGTTTTCCCGGTAGAGCGAGAGAGAGAGAGAGAGGAAGAAAGTGTGACTTCAACGGGTACCTCATCTTGAACTTCTACACTGAGTCCGAACGAAACACGACCTCCTTGCTTGCTTTGTCCTTTCTGTATTGCACTGGCTTTTTTCGCTTTACCCTTGCCTCTCTTTCTGTCTGTGTTTTGCCGTGTGTACAGTGGTGGTGGGTCATTTGCGGTCGATTTTACCGTTAGTAATTCCCATCGGGAAGGCAGTTGTGCCTACACATCGCATACACTCGGAGGAACGTTTTGGGCGCCGCGTGAGAGCCGACCTCACATTATGATACAGTTTGACTCATAATCGTTCATTTTCTGTGGTTTGCGAACTTATCGTGGGATTTTTCCAGTTAGCCGATTATGGTTCATACGGATTGCTTATGCATGATTCAACTCCCGGTTGTTTTATTACTCACCTTCAGTGTGCGATGAACGGTGGAGGTGGCGCAGTGGTTTAATCGCTGTCAGCGGTGTGCTTTGGACCCTATGGTCTGAGGTTAGCACCGCTCCACCGCCACCCAACTTTGGTGCTAGGTAGCTTTGCTGTCGTCCAGTTCATTGAATCACCTCAGCGTGGCCTTATATGGTCCGCCACTCCAAGTCCCGCAGAGCTTAGCTTACCGGTTGCCATCACCGAATATCAGGTTTACGCGACCTTGGGGTTCACTCCGTCTGCTGTTCATCGCACAGAAAGGTGTGTAATAAAAAAAAGAATGGGTGCACCGCATAGTCAGGAAGAAAGACAATATTCAATTAGGTGTGAACGGGTGACATTTGCTCTGGGATTTGAACGAGTGAGTCACAGGATATTCAGTGCACTGATCTAGATGATAACTAAGTTGGCTGGTGGTTGCAGGGTTCTAACCGCCGGAATTAGGGTCTCTTTGTTTGTTCCTGTTTCACTCCCGACAAAACTGAAACGGATGTCTGTCGGTGTGTGTGTGTGTGTGATTCAAGATACTACTTAGCCTAGGTTGTAATGAACGACAGACACGGCGAGGTTTTCACTTAACCATTGCGCTCTCCAAGATAGGCGATCGTTTCGTACGTGCGTGTAACATGATATATATTTTGTACATTACTCCGTCGTCCTCGTAGTTGTTGTTATTTTTGCAGGCGCTATATGTACGTGTCAGCGCGTTTGACTAATCGTTTTCTCAGACTACTCATAAAAAAATGGGTTTCACAGATTCCCGACGCTAGTTTTGTTCATATCGAGCACCGCAAATGAACACGATGTGTTTGGGGAACAAACCACATCCCAGATAGTTGTGTTATTTGCAGTCGTTCCAGAAATGACTTATTGACTCGGAACCAAGAGAGAAACATCAAAGTCGTCAATTACGACCACGTAAGCACTCATCTGATCTTAACGTTTGACGGTTTGAAGCCCTTTTACATGATCGGGTTAGCGACGGATGGCTGTGATAATTTTGGAGTTTTGGCAAGTTTTTTTTCTGTGCGCCCAAAACGGTTTGTTTAATTCAATCGCGACTGATTCTCCTGTGAAAACCACAGAGGAATTAGTTTAATCAACATTGCTTCTCAACGTCTCACTGGTATTATACTCCGTCGATTGTCTGTCGCACGAGAACGGTATACGCTTGAGAACCAGGCTGGTAGTAGACCTTGTCTAGGTTGTATCGACCACATCTTCACTCTTCGTCCAATTCTAGAACACAGACACTCGTTTCGTTGACCCACTATTTCTACCTTCCTCGATTTGAAAGCGGCTTTCAACTCAGTCGATCACTCCAACCTCTGGTCCTGCCTCGCTCTAAAGGGTGTGCCCGAGAAGTTTGTTTCTGTCTAGCACTCCCTTTGTACTAAGAGCCGAAGCCGAGTCCGAGCTTACGGCACTTTTTCATCCGAGTTCACCACGGAAAGTGGTGTTCGACAGGGTTGCCCTCTCTCTCCATTTCTATTTAATTTTGTCATAGATTTAATTCTTGAAACAGCCCTATCCTCGTGCGAGGATAGTGGCATCGATTTATCCCCAGGTGGCAGGCTGTCTGATCTAAAGTGTGCAGACGATATTGTGCTGCTAAGTGAAGATCCAAGCTTTTTTAGATATATTGAATGCCTGCGTAGCCATTTTCGGCATCCGTTTTGCACCTTCAAAGTGTAAAATGTTGTTTCAAGATTGTGTTGGTCCAGCCGCCAACCTTACTCTAATTAGGAGAATTAATAGAGCAAGTGGATAAACTTTGTTATTTAGGCAGCTGTACCTCATCCGGTGGACGCATCACGGATGAAGTGTCATCGTGCATACAGAAGGCCCGATTGGCATTTGCTAACTTGAGACATTTGTGGCACCTTCGCGACATCCGGCTGTCTGTGAACGGTCGCCTGTATGCTGCGGTAGTTCGGCCCGTTCTGTTATAGGAACAGAAACTTGGCCATTAAGAAAACAGGATAAAGACACTGTCGGTGTTTGATAACCGGTGTCTACGCAGCATTGCACGAATCTGGTGAGGCAGCCGGACGAGCAATGCTGAGGTGAAGCGCAGAGTTTTAGGTAATCGCGGGCGCCCACTTGAGCCAGTGGTTGACCTCCATAGATTACGTTGTTTGGGGCATGTGATACGCATGTCACCAAATAGGTTGCCACAGCGAGCGATGTTCACCGAGGCAGNATCCGCAGTCGCCCACTGGAGCAAGTGGTCGACCTCCATAGATTACGTTGTTTGGGGCATGTGATACGCATGTCACCAAATAGGTTGCCACAGCGAGCGATGTTCACCGAGGCAGGTAGTGGGTGCAAGAAAGTCAAGGATGGTCAAGCTAAGACCTGGCATGAGGGTATGAAAACCCTAACCAGAAGACTGGATCACAAAGGTCTTTTTAGGCTCCCTGGATGGGGAACTCAGGATAATCATAATCGATGGTTAGAGACACAGCGATATGGCTGGAAGTCGTAAATAGTGGCGTTGGTGCATCTTAATCACTTTGCAACAAAACTCTACCGAGATTCCCAATTTTCTCTTCAGTTCCACTTTCAACCTTGGTGTCTTTCTCCTACTGCTCATTCAAATGGGCAGCCAAAACCGGTGCACAAAAGTGCATGGTTAATGGTTGTTCGAACTGAACTGAATTACGACCGCCTCCGCGGTGGATAGTAGATAACCTTTGACCTTCTATGTTGATCACCCATATGGGACTTTGCATGCAAAACTGGTGTGTGCCTGTTCTAATGAGCTTTACTCAGTCTCATTCCTAGTGCTTCTCCTCGGCCTCCTGATTTCGTAGTCAGGCGACGAATAGTTATGCAATCAAGAAACAAAATGAAACAAATTCGGCGGGTTTCTCGTGGGTTCATTCGAATCCCACTGAACGTCCATCTGATCGAACCACCACTCTTTCATTCTTCATTGTTGATGTTGTATTTTGGTTGATTCAAAAATTCGCGGTTTTCGCCTTCCTTTTTATTGAGGGGGCAGATAGTGTGAGGGGATAAAAAGTGACTACGATTATGACCTGTCATAGTTTACCAATATATGGCAACACGAGCGAGTCGTGGGGTTGTACGGTTCGAGCATGGCATAGTGTCCAATCGCGTGTTTGCCTCGCACGTTCCCATTATTGCCCATTCTCGACTAATCCACGCTATCATTCAGGATTAACCTAGCGCGATAGGGGGAACCACATCGCTTTATGTGGAAAACACGTTTTCGGCTTTTTCGTCCCCTTAATCTATCCCAGTCTCTCCCTCTGGTCCGTTTTTGTTGTCACCTCTGCGTAGCGACAGAGGACAGGGTGGGGTGAGTGGGCTAACAAAAGCTTAATCTATAGAATGACCAACTGCAAGGAGTGGTTTGCAAGGCAAACTTCATTTGCATCTCTGCTAGTTCATTCCAGAATCATTGTCGTGACTCGGTGTGAGTTTTGTGGGTTAAATAAGTCTAAGCTGACACCTTGGCCGATTTTTGTTACAGCTAATATATAAACAACTTGAAGGCAAATGAAGTTCTCGTTGTCTCATTCACATTTGCTTTATCAGTATAAAACAGAATTGACTATTGATCACCAGAGACGTTTAGTCATTTGTGCACCACTTGGTCATTTTGTATGTACGTTCTAGGTCATTCTCGTTGTCAGTGCGGTAACCGAATAGCCTGGTCCGAACAGGGTCGTCAATCCAGATGTACAGTGTTTTTCTTCTCCGTGCTTTACACGGACAATAGACTTGAGCAACGCGTGCTCAGTTAGGTATGCGGAAATTGA